AGATAATTTATTTAGATTAACCGATTCTGTGAAAAAAATCACCAATTTATTTGCAAATAACATAGTTATTACACATAGTTTAGTCTTTTTTTGTAGGCAATAAATAGAAAATAATATTTAATGCTGCTGTTGCATGTATTTATCAATTTTCGTTTCGTTATCATGTTGTTTCCTACAGTTTTTGTGGTATAAAGTGTAAACTGATCTGGCAAATGCTCAGATAAATAATATTTTATAGGTAAACTTGAACTCTGGATATATTATTTTATCTTTTTTTCTTACAGAGCCATTTCAGGTGCCCAACAAGACAGTAGCACCTGCCTAAAGTCCCATACGGACATACATTAAACCTGCCATGCTGACCCGACCTCTCAGAAACGAACCAGAATACATTTGGCCTTCCTCCATCTGCTCTGATCTCCACACACACATACTCAGGACAATGATGCAAGACCATTTCCTTTGATTGAAATTAATTTATTCGTGCCAGCACACTGGTTTTGGCATCTATTAATTTCCCTTTATTAGATTTCACACCTTCAGCCTTGAAGTTAATTAAAAGAGTGAGAGAAGAGGGTGCGGTATCACCCGGTCTGCTGTCCTTTCTGTCTCCCTCCCTTCTTCATTCTCTTCACCCCTCTCTTTGTTTAAACAATCTCCTAATCGTATTTAAAACAGTCCCAGCTGTGCGGAGAGCAGCTCTGTTCTCTGTAACAACTCTATGGAAAGCACAATTTGCCTGTCAGAGTTTAACCTGATAGACTCATTTCCATAAACCCTAATCTGTCTTTCTCTTGTCAACTGCCCAGATTGCAGTCTCGGACTACTATTGTCAAGTGGCGTCTGAAGGCTGCGAAGCTGACGTATGTTCCATACCTGAGACGAGCTGAGAGAGGCTTAAAGAAATAGATTGGGATTGTTGTGGTTATCTTCTAGCAAGGACCCTCGCGTATTATTCTGAGCGAACTCTATGACATTCAGACTGACTTCTGTGTCTCATTCATGAATAAGACGGAGCTCTAATCCACAGAGTTTAAAAAGGACTCTTATGACAGATTACAGTTGGTTCTTCATTGATAAGCAGCTGCATAACACACATGCTCCCGTCATATAAGTCTTGATATAAAAATAGTATAATTAATATTTTAATAATAATTAATAATATTCATCTATTTTTATATATATATATTATCATTTATAAATATTACAACTCAAAATTGTATTCAAATTGAGATTATAATGGCTCTATTCTGTCTGATTTCTAAAAATTGACTGTTAAGTGGAGTGATATCACAACAGTCACATAAACTGAAGAAAAAAAACGGGTGTAGAAACAACTCAGAAATTATAATTT